CCGGGATATGAACCCAGGTCTTCTGCAAGAACAACCAGTGTTCTTAACTGCTAAGCAATCTCTCCAGCCCTGCCTTAATATATTTTTAAGAAAACAAATAAAATACCCTACCCCCCACCAAGAATTTGAAACTAATTATTGAAAAGGAGAAATACTTTTTGCTTCTAAAAATACCATAACTCGCCAGGTGTGGTGGCGCACGCCTTTGATCCCAGCACTTGGGAGGTAGAGGCAGGCGGATCTCTGTGAGTTCGAGGCCAGCCTCGTCTACATAGTGAGTTCCAGGACAGCTGGGGCTACGGGGAGACCCTGTCTCAAAAAAGACAAAAAAACAAAAAAAAAAAACAAAAAACCATAACTCAGAATACCCATTAGCATAGGTACTAAACAGGTTTAAACAAACAAACAAAAAAACCCCCTAGATTACCTATACTTACTCTAATATAGATTTTATCCAGTTTCAAAACAAAACAATATAGCCTAATGTTTATTTAGTTTAGATTTTTGTTTCAAGATTTATAAAGCAGTAAAAGGAAGGAATACTCCATTGGTAACAGGGAAATACATTTAGTGTTGTGTTTTCAAAAGATTTGCCTTCCTTTGTAATGTTTTCCTATGGATGCAGATGGAGCTTTTGTTGGTGCTGGATACCTCATCCGTTACCCTAGGCAGACTGAGCCAGAGAGAAGATAACCTATTGAAAAGCTGCAGGAAGAAGCCTGCTGATAGTGTGAACTCTGGTTGAACTAGATTTGACAGCAGGTTTTGTCCTTTAGCATTTGGAATGGACCATCTTGCGATTTGGAAACTGTTTTGTTCCTTCATCTCTAATAGTTGCATTAGGCATTAATATTTATTAAAATGGAGTATTACTTTTTAATGTGGCATTTATTTAAAAGTACCAGTTTTCTTTTTTCTTTTCCTTCCCTCCATGAGGATCATGCCTAGGACCATGTGTACTGGTCTAGTGCTGTGCCACTGAGCTGCCTCCCCCTAGCATTGCTAATTTTCCCAAGTGTACTATTTTGTTCTTTTTCCTTTCATGTATTGGGAATATAATTTTTACATAACTCACAAACCAGCATGCTCTCTAAGATTGTAAATTTTAAAACTTCCTTATATTTTGAGTCAAAGACATTTATTAGTGGTGCTAAAAATACCTCAGTGGATATAATAAATTTAAAATTAGAAAGCAGAAATGAAGTCTTTTTAAATCTAGTTTTCAGTGCAAGTTAATACATTTTACTATACCCTCAGGAGAAATCCTAGTTAAACCTTTGAAATTTATCAGTGTTCTGACCTGGTTCATGTGACTTGGATAATTAGTATTGTTTATTGTTAGCTTTGAAGTGAGAGTATTATAATCTGTCATGTCCAGACAAGCACTCTTGAAATGGATCTACATGTCCTGTCCTTTTTCCTCCTTCCCTTCCTTCCTTCTTTTTTTTTAGAAAGTGTTTTACTTCTAAGACTGGCCTTGAACTTAAGATCCTCCTGCCTCAGTCTCTTGAGTTCTGGGATTATAGGCATGTACTATTACACCTGATTTTTTTAAGAAAAATCGTTTATAGTCAGTCCTTAAACATTTGTGGAGTTCAACAGATGCTTCTGCTTATAGGTGTAACTTTATAATATCTATCAATTAAACATTCCTGAGTTTTTTTGCTAACTTTTTTTTTTTTTTACTAGCACAAACTTTAATTTTTTGAAGCTGGTTTCTCATGTCTTTTTTCTCCCTCAACAGGAAAAGTACCTTTTATTCATGTGGGAAATCAGGTAGTATCAGAACTTGGTCCAATAGTCCAATTTGTTAAAGCTAAGGTAATAAAAAAAAAAAGTGTATGTGTTTGATCTTAAATATGTTATTCATCATTCTTTTGTGTGTTGTAAATGCTGATGCAAATTATTAGAACATATTTCTAAACTAAGTTGGTGCTTTTTCATAATATAAATAAATCAGTGGCAAAGATGTGGTTTTATCTTTATAAAATGGTAGCTAACTTAGGCATAATTCCTGTCCTAAAAGAAGACTTTTAGGTTCTTATGAAGCATCCAATTGACCTTTGAAAATGGAGATGTAAGATACATTTTGAAGTTGAAAATATTAATTTACTCATTTGAATGATTGTACTGTTCATTTGTTTAATTTAGACTTTAGTAGTTATGAAACTCTACCTATTAATATTTAGGAAAATGTTCTTCTACACTTTGTGTCACATAGATAGATCCTTTAAAATTGCCAACCAGTGCTTAAAAATTGTTCCATATACCATTGTTACATGGTATTTTGTTGTATTACACATGTTAATAGCTTTTTACTCAAGTCTTTATTAATGGACATTTTGGATATTGGCCAATTTTTTGCTATTATGAGTATTAAAATAAATTTTCTTTAACATAAACTTTTGTATACTGTCTCACTAGGATAAATTCCTAAGAGTGATACTGGGATGTCTTGTAGTATACCTTTTAAAATATAGAACATATCACCAGACTGAACTAAAGGCTATACCATTTTGTCTATCTACCCATCAATATAGTGTCTTAGAATTTATTACTATCTTTTTTCCTAATATTTTTTCATTATGTCTTAACTAACATTTTTCTTTCATCCTTGTATATTCTATAAGTAGCAAATACCAGTCTTCTGACATTGCTTTTATTATTAAGGTTTATGTCAGAAGCATACAAGGTTTACCAACCATTTTGTTTTTTCCTTTATGAGATAATTGATTATGTAATTTTGTCCACTGAAAATACATTTAAGCTGGGTAGGGTGGCACATGCCTTTATTCCCAGCACTTGTGAGGCAGAGGCAAGCCAATCTTTGTGAGATCAAAGTCAGCCCTGGTCTGTGTAGCAAGTTCCAGGCTAGCTGGGGCTACAGGGAAAGCCTGTCTCCCCACCTCAAAAAAAAGATGTATATAATGTTAATACTACTTAGTAGTGATAGAATATTAGATATGCTTTTATGTAAAACAATTTTGTTTTAAGAGACATTTTGGAAATTAATCCATTGTATGTAATACACATACATATTATATTACTTGTTATACTAGTAAAATACTGAAAGTTTTTGTATATTTAATATGATGCGCTTAAATTTTTTTAAATTCCCTTTAGGGCCATTCTCTTAGTGATGGGTTGGATGAAGTCCAAAAGGCAGAAATGAAAGCTTACATGGAATTAGTCAACAATATGCTGTTGACTGCAGAGGTATAAGATAAGGCTTGAAACAGAACACAATCTTTTATAATCTGTTTTCTCTTATAAAATAAAACTTTCATTGTGGTTTACCTTAAACTCATTGAGAAGTGCGATTCTAGGGTTGGAATGATTATCCAGATTATTCGATCAGTATCTTTAAACAAGTTTCATGATATTTTTCAGTTCTAGTTTTTCTGTTTGTAAAGAGAAATGATTCTTGCCTATTCATTATTTTGACCTTTTGAAGTTTAATAGTACCTGTAAAATAATGGTATTTAGAAAAACTATATAAATATTTTCTATAAAGCACTACCATTAAATTTGAGAGTTCTGTAGAGTAGATTACCCAAGAAGAGAAAACTCACATATGTGACCTATAAAGTTGGCTTATAAGAAATTGCTATGGTAAGAAATAACTTTATCCCTTTCTTTTTGATGTTTTAAAGTTTTAGTGACTGTTCTTTTGTTCCTAGTTGTATCTTCAGTGGTGTGATGAAGCTACAGTAGGGGAGGTGAGTGGTTCTGCAGCATTTATCTTAATTAAAATTTAATGAGAAAACACTTTTGCTCAGTATCGCAAGTCCCTGCTCATAAATGAAACATTGTGGTTTATACCATTAGTGATACAGTTTTTCACTTACTTTAATTTTGCTTGCACATACATTTTAGGGAAGCTGTGTGTCATTGTTTGATATAACTGGTTGTAAAGTACATAAAAGTTTATATATTTTTAAAGGGAATGGCTTAAAATTTTAATTTTTTTAGATTGCAAGCTATGTATTTTTTTTCAGATTGCTTTATATATTTTCTCTGGAAATACATACTTTTTAGAACTCTTGTTTGTAAGAATGCATTATTTTTAGGGAAGGATCATGCATTTTACAAAATCTTTTTTGCTGTAGATCACTCATGCTAGGTATGGATCTCCTTACCCTTGGCCTCTGAATCACATTTTGGCCTATCAGAAACAGTGGGAAGTCAAACGCAAGATGAAAGCTATTGGATGGGGTAACAAGACTCTGGACCAGGTCAGTTCAGGTTGAAGTTGACAAAAGCTTCAACTTCCTATGCATTAAAAATGGTTATTACAAAAAAAAAATGGTTATTACTTTAAAAATAATCTCAATAATCACTTGCTATTATTTTCTCTTTCATGAAGTAATTGCATTTCTTTTGTAAAAGTTATACATGCTTATTTGTATATATGATACAAAAAAGGATATACAATTGTCTGAAATCCCACCACCTCAAAATTGCCATCCTTAGTTTGGAGAACATTTTTCTAGATATCTCTTAGTAATAATGCCCTTAAATAGTATCATATTATGCCTCCAATTCTATAACCTGCATTTTTTTCTTCCCCTGAACAGCACATATGTTAATAAATATAGACCTGCTGCACTAGAGCTTTACAAAAACCTTATTAAAGGCAGGCGTGGTGGCTCACGCCTTTTATCCCAGCACTTAGGAGGCAGAGGCAGGCAGATCCTTGTGAGTTCAAGGCCAGCCTGACCTACATAGTGAGTTCAGGTCAGCTGGGACTAAAGGGAGACCCTGTCTCAAAAAGACAAAAATAAAATAAAATAAAATAAAAACCTTATTAAATATAGTACTTAATATATCTTTTCTTTGGTCTTCAGTTTATTAAAATAACAAAAAAAATTTTAAATGTATTTTTTCAAGGTCATGAGTTTGGGCATCATTAAACTAATCAGTTTTTTCTTTTTGGCCAAGGCTACCCTTGATTTCTAGCCAGCCATCTCACTGATGTATGCTACAAGGGGGATTTAGTAAATGAATATGGGTGGAGTAAGATGCATCTCCAAGAGTTTCCAATAGTGTCATTTTATAGAGCAAGATTTTTAATATATGCAAAATAATTGAATATATGGATTCAGGAAAATATTGTTTGGGGAGTAAAATTTTGAGAGAACTTTCTTGTTATAGTAAGCCTTATTAGTAGCTTAAATGTATTTAATAGAAATTCACTCAAATTTTCTTCCCATTAATATTAAAAGAATTATTTATGCCATGTATGTGGTCTGTGGTCTTACTAAATATATTATAAAAAGCTCACCTAAGTTTATATTTTTGTCATAAATTGTGATACAAATTGAATTTTAGGATAATTTTTATTGTTTTGCTAACTTAGATATTTTTCTTTGGGGTTCATTGCCCATGTTAGGTCTTAGAAGATGTAGACCAGTGCTGTCAAGCACTTTCTCAAAGACTGGGAACACAACCCTATTTCTTCAATAAGCAGTAAGACGTTTTATTATTGTTATATATCTTTTGTTTCTCACAGGGGTTACAAATTTCTTTTATCACAAAGGTATTATTTTTTCAAGAAGTATTTATAACTCTGCTTTTCTTTGGGGGAACCAGATGTATAGTTCCTCTCTTGTTATGTACAGAGGCAGAAGGAGAGGTCTCTAGCCCCCTTGGTCTCATATCACTGATGTCAGCTGCTTTCTATCTACAGGTTTTATTCTCAAGGACAAGGATACATTTAAAAAAAGAAGAAAGTAATATAAATATGTATAAAGGACTTATTTTTAAAATTCATCTTTATACCCATTAAACACTTATCCCTTCTTGCCTGTTAGGCATAGTGTGGCTCTGGGCAACTCAGATTTCTAAAATGCAGTCCTTGTTGAATTTTCTTAAGGTCAGTCATATAAATCAATCATTTTTATATGATTTGACAAAGATTTTAATAGATGGAGTTGAAGACACTACAAGAAGTACAAAATGGTAAAATCCTAAATTTTAAAGTACTGCAAAACATGAGTTTATTGCTAGCAACAGCTTTAATCTATATTGAGTGTTACTTTGAGACTAGGAGAGTCGTTAAGACTGAACACTAAAGAGTATTATAGGATGGACAAACTCTGTTATTAATTTATTCTTTAAAAAGTTATGAAAGTATTTTTAAATATAGAAATTACTTGGTACAAATGAAGTATATGTTAGTATGTAAATTGAGTAATTCATGTTTCATTGACAAGATTAAAAAAATTTTAATACTAATGTAGGCAAAGAACTTTCCTCTATTAAAAATTAGAATTTTAATGTCTTTTCTATGAGCCAGTGTGAACTTAAATTAACATTTTAATCTCAGTGGTTTTCCAGGAAGGTTATCTTTTTCTTGGCTTGTTATTAAAAATGTGTTTTAGCCTGGCGTGGTGGTGCACACCTTTAATCCCAGCACTCGGGAGGCAGAGGCAGGCAGATCTCTGTGAGTTCAAGGCCAGCCTGGTCAACATAGTGAGTTCCAGGACAGCTGGGGCTACAGGGAGACCCTGTCTCAAAAAGACCAAAATGTTTTAGGTCGATAATTTTGGTTCTTTTCACATTTGCATGTGTGTGTGTGTGTGTGTGTGTGTGTGTGTGTGTGTGTGTGTGTGTGTGGTACGCGTGTATATGTGTGTGTCGCGGTGTGTGGAGATACATGTGTGTATATGGGGGGGGGCGCGCGCCCTTGTCTTATGTATGTGTTCCGATGTGTGTAGGCATACATGTGTACATGGATGGAGGTGCACGTGCCTGTTCATGCCTGTGGAAGCTGGAGGTTGATGTCAGGAATCTCACTAGATTGCTCATATTTTGAGGCAAGGTCTCTTAATCAAACCCAGAGCTTGCTGCTATGGCTGGTCTTGCTAACCAGCTTGCTCAGAAGAGATCCCAACTCTGGCTTGTGAGACTGACAATATAGGGAGCCACCATGCTCCCTGCACACTTAAGTGTGCACTGGGGATCTGAATTCCGGTTCTCTTGATTGCATGGCAAGGCCTTTAACTGCTGAGCAATCTCCCCAGCCTTAGGTTGGTAATTTTTTAAAAGATGTATTTTAGTTTTAATTATGTGTGTGTGCGTGGATATGTGTATAGTTAGGTGCCCATAGATGCCAGAGGCGTGGGATTCCTGTGGAGCTGGAGTTGTAGGCAGTTGTGAACCACCCAACATGGATGCTGGGAACTGAGTTCCAGTTTCTACAAGAGCAGTTACCACTCTTAACTACCAACCTATCTCTCCACCCTCTTAGGCTGCTAATATTTTTGGTTTTTGGTTTTTGTCTTCTCGAGACTGGGTCTCCCTGTAGCCCCAGCTGCCTGAAACTTGCTATGGAAACCAGGTTGGCCTCTATCTCATAGAAATCTGCTTGCCTCTGCCTCCTGTGTGCTGGCATGCACCACCAGGCCCAGTTAGGCTGATAGGTGTTTAAATGCTTAATTTGCTATGAGCTTTATACTTTCATGAGCATTCATATTCTATAGCCATGTCAGATGTCTTTTGTAAATGATTATGAGGACAGTTTGGAAGTCTTTAAATTATATTATTCTACAATACATATATTGTATATAACACATAGAACTCAGGTTATATAAAAATTGGGGTCTGTTGGTCTCTGAAACAGAAAGGCACAAAATTCATGAAATCCTGGTCTGTCTAACTTCTACAACTATGTTCCTATACCTGTTGCTTGGTCCCTAACACAAAGGAGTAAATATACCCAAATGTTAGTATTCTGTAGTTCTTTTTCTTTCTGATATTTAATTCTTCATAGTTCAAAAGCTCAAAGGGGGTACGTTTCATTGTTTGAAGTGCTTTGTTATTATCAGTGAGTTAGTTTTGTTGTACATGCTGCCTTTAGGGGTGGGCAGGAGAATAGATCTAATTTACTTCTCTTCTCAGTTAAATTCATTATCAAAGTGTTGGTAACCAGGGATCATTCGGTTTGTGATTTTAGAGGAAAAATGAAGATACTACTTTTGTTAATAAATTACATTTAAACTTACAAAAGAAATTGAAATTTAGGGTAGCTGCCAAAACCAAAGACTTCCAATTGAGGAACTGTTTAATTTGTACTAATAGTAGGTATTTGTTCTAATAGTAGGTATTTGAAGTAATTTTTCATTAACCAATAATTATGATAGCAGAATAGATTTAATTTTTAATTTTAGTTTTACCTAAACTTTTTATTTTTATTTATTTAGTTTTTTGAATGTAAGCCTTTTGTTGTGAAGCCCTGGAACTTGCTTTATAACTCAGACTGGCCTCAAACTCATGTTTACTCTGCCTTAGCCCCCAAGTCTGGGATTACAAGTACATACCATCAAGCCTGGTTACCCATCATTTAATCAGTATTAAGTGAAGATAGACTATGTTAAGGGAAGGGTAACTTGCATTTTTACTTTACTATGACAAACTTTTCCTTTTTCTGTGTCAGGAGTCATTGTTTTGTGAGACATAGTATTTTAGCTAGAACGGTACTAGCTTAAGTTAAGATGCATAAGTTCTATTTTAGGTTGGAGGTCTTGAATTCTACCCTTGGTTCTCACATATACTGAACTGTGACAAATCTAATTCTCTTAGTTTTCCTATATATCCTATTTTTGCTCTTTTTTTTTTTTTTTTTTTTTTTTTGAGACAGGGTCTTCCTGTACCCCAGCTGGCCTGGACTTACTATGAAAGAAACCAAATGTGTTTTTTGAAGAGAAGAGGGAAAAAGAAATTAAGGGAGATCTTGTGGTAAGGATAGTAATTAAGAAAAGAGGACAAACAAAAGGACCTTAATTTGTGTGTTTTAGTAACAGTTTTTAAGTTCACTGTTTAGTATGTAGGGGATACAGAAATTATTTCTAGTAGTATGAAGAAATGGCAAAAGAAATAACATATTAGGAAAGAAAAAAATTAGAGAACACCTAGACAAAATTAATGCTTTTGAAACTAGATCATACTATAAAGGATATCAGAGAGAAAGACAAAATAATAATGAGTAAACAAAGCATAAAGAATGAGTAGGAGAAAAAATTTAAATCCGAAAGGTTAGGAAAATGTTCACGTTTTACAGTACTGTTTTTATTTTGATAGTCAAAGGGTAGTAAATAAAACCAAAAGAAATGATAATGCAAGATAAACAGGCAACAGTAGAACCTTAAAATATATTCATCATCCTAGAACATTTTTTAATAAAAAGTCTGTAAAGATAAATATGGCAATACATTTGGAATGGCTTAGAGCTCATAGGAAAAGAATTGGCTGTAGACATCCATATTACAGCCCACAAACTCTTAAGCATAAGAGTGGAATGGTGAAAAGTTATAACTTTTCTTCATGTAGTGTCACAAAGCAATTAAAACAGCAGGTGCATGAAGGTCTGACTTGATTTAACATTGTAGAAATGCTGAGCAAAATCTACTCAAATTTTTTTGCATTTAGTGTGTGTGTGTGTGTGTGTGTGTACGTGCGTGTGTGTGCGTGCGTGCATGTGTGCGTGCATGCATGGTCTACAGTATAGGTATAGTGGTTAGAAGACTTAGAGGAGTTGGCTCTCTCTTTCTACCAAGTGGATCTCAAGGATAAAACTCATATCATCAGGCTTGGCTGCAAGTTCCTTTACCTTGCTGAACTGACTTTCCAGTCACACAAGTGTGCTTTTTAAAAGGAAGCAGTTGTGGAAACTGTTAATTTATTAAAGTCAGAAGTATTTAATGTAAGTTGGTGAAATTTGAAAGGACTGCCAGTCATGGTGGGCATGCCTTTAATCCCAGCACTTCAGAGGCAGAGACAGGTGGATGTCTGAGAGTTTGAGGTCAGCCTAGTCTACACACAGAGTTCTAGGTCAGCTAGGGCTACACATAGTGAGACCCTGTCTTTAAATAAAAGGAGGGGGGTGGTGGTGACTGGAGAGATGGCTCCATGGTTAAGAGCTCTTGCAGGAGATCTGGGTTCGAATCCCAGTACCCACTGTAATTTGAACATAGTCTCTTAGTTGATTTCATTCAGAGCCTTCATTTATTGATAAGGAATGCCCAGCTCTACTTCTGGAAGCTACACTCTTGGTTCTCATCCAAGTGGAGGATAGTTGGCACTAAACAAGAATTAAAAAGATAAGTCTCCCCTTGGTATGATAGATATATCTTTTAAGAAATATGTTTAGGGATGTAGGAGAGTTAATATTTATATTCTCATAAGGTACCTTAACTCTACATTTATCCAGTGTCTCCTTGGTTCTTTGTAAAGATCTGTTTGTTATTGATTCATCTATGATGGAAAAAAATTGTGGTCTACTAAGTCCAAGGACACTTGTTATGTAAAAAAAAAATTATCCTGTTGACTATCTGAAAAAAAAAATATCACATATCCCTTAGGATACTTTCTTTTCTTGTATTCAGCAAATGCTGTTCAGATCACACATTTTGTACTAGGAACTGGTGCTATAAAGATTCAGGGAGTGCTGCCTTTAAAACTTGATGTGTAATAAGGGAAACAATTCAGTAAGTGCAGTTACAGTATGTTACAAGAAACATATCAGGGGCTGGAGAGATGGCTCAGTGGTTAAGAACACTGGTTGTTCTTGCAGAAGAGCTGGGTTCGAATTCCAGCACCCACACGGCAGCTAACAACTGTCCATAACTCCAGGTCCAGGAGATCTGACAGCCTCTTCTGAACAATGCAGGCATTGCATGACATGTGCACTTACTACCTACATGCATTCAATACACGCATATACAGAAAAATAAAAATAAGAAATAAAATTTAAAAAAAGAAGCATATCGCCTTGTAATTGATTTTTCTAATGCATGTTGAGAACCTACTTTGTGCCTGGCATTGTTCTAGGTAGTGGGATTAAAGCAAGTAGATAAGTTTATTTCCCACTATCCTCAACCATAGAGCTTCTCTTCTAGTAGAGGAAATGTACAATATATAGCAAATATTAGATGGTGTTAAATGCTACATGGAGAATTAAAACTGGATCACATGATAGGCAGTGACTCAGTGTCCACTTCAGTTTGAAAGATAAAGGGAAGCTTTAAATTGTAACATTTGCGGATTATTTTGAAAACCAAGAAGGTGCCAATATAGTAAATTTCAGGCAGCAAGAATAGTTGGTGTTAAGGCTCAAGATGATTTTGAGCTTGTTATGTTCAAATGAAAGAACCAAAGACCAGTTTTGGTGTTGTATACTGTGATGGCGATGTGGTAGGCAGGGACCATGGCATCTAGACTTTATAAGCTTAGGGTAGCAAAGTTGACATTTTAGTGAAAGTAGAATGAGGATCCGTTAGAATATTTTATACTTGGAGTGATGTGATGTAGTGGCATTGAAAAGGTCATTTTAGCTACACTATGGAGAATGAATAGAAGCAGAAAGTCACATTAGAAAGTATTGCAGTTGTCTAGGTAAGGTCTGGACTAGGAGTAATAGACAAGTGGTGACATTCAGGGCACATTTTGGAAGTAGTGTCACACCAGACTTGCTAATGCATATGGAACATTAAGTTTATGCAAGTGTAATCTCAGAATGCTTGATTTGAACAGTCAGGTGGATATGGTGTGATTTATTTTAGAAGTCAGGGAATTTTGGAAGACTTGGATAAACAGGTTTAAGGTGCTTATATTTACATAATATAAGATGGTACATAGGCATTTGAATGTATGAATCTAGAGCTCAGGGGAGTGATGAGGGCCTGAGGTAAATATTAGGGAATTAGTGGCATAAAGCTGTGAAATACGATGAGGTCATTCATTAATGACCAAGGCCACATAGTTAGTAAGTGGCAGAAGTGAAGTTCAAATTTAGATCTCTTCTCCTAAACCAAATTAATCAGTTTTGGGACTGATGGCAAAAATTCATAATTATGAAGGTATTTTCTTCTTTTAGTACTATTGTTTTAGTAATTATTTTAGTATAATGTAGATTGTTGATGTTCCATTTATAGACCATTGTATTTGGGATAAAATTTATCTTCTTATAATATATAATTAAAGAGAGGAAAAAAACCTAGGCCATTTTATGTTGAAGTCATCTTTTCATGACTGGAGGATTGTTTCCTCCAGAAATGAAATCTAAGTTGCCCTAAAATAGTTGTAAAACTGAAGTTATAGGGGCTGGAGAGATGGCTCAGTGGTTAAGTGCTGTTCCTGTAAAGGACCCAGGTTTGATTCCCAGCACCCATATGGGCAGCTCATAATCATCTGTAACCCCACTTCCAGGGGATCCAATGCCCTCTTCTGGCATACATGTGGTACACATATAGACATGCAGGCAAAGCACTCATACATAAAATAAAAATAATTTCAAAGATATAAAAGTATAACATGTAGATTAGGTAACTGGATATCTTTTTGGGGGGGTCCAAATACTACAGTAAAATTCTCACAATTTGGCAGTATTTTATGACTTTATTAATATATTTAATTATGGTAATTCACATATATATATATATATATTCCATGTCTAAAATATCTTTTTTGTTTTTTAGATCTCTAGCACAGTTTCTGGCACATTAGAGTCCTCTTATGTTTGATGTTTAAAATGAATAAAATTAATATGTTATCAGTATAATTTCAACACATTTAATAATGCTATTCCAAAATCAAGACACACAACTAATAAATTATAGTTTAATTTTTTCATATCCTTTAAAGTTAAGATGGAAAAAAAAATTTAAGTTGTGGTAGGATTTATTTCTGTGACTTTTTCTTTTAAGTTGATTACTAAAATATCTTTTAAAATAGAATGTTTTCTGACATAAAAATTAGGTGCCACTCATGTCCCTCTTGTTTTTCCTTCTTTTTAGACCTACTGAACTTGATGCCCTGGTGTTTGGCCATTTGTATACCATTCTTACCACACAGCTGACCAATGATGAACTTTCTGAGAAGGTGAAAAACTATAGCAACCTTCTTGCTTTCTGTAGAAGAATTGAACAACACTATTTTGAAGATGGGGGTAAAGGCAGGTTGTCTTAGAGCTGTATGTCAGTTGGTTATTTTAAAAAAATATTGAATTATGTGTTACTTGAATGTTAGATATTAGTAACAATTTCAAAACCAAAACCACTGTTTTCTGAAACCTCAAAACAAATTGCATAATGTTATATACATGTTCTTTATACTGTTATTTGTGTATTCATTAATATTGAATTATTTGATTTGGTACATTGTATTCTATACCTTGAAATTTTTGTTTCCGTATGAGCATATTAAAAATAAACCTTAAACAAATGTATGATTGTAATATTTACTTTCTTTTGATCTTTCTGAAAACGACTCATTGAGCTTTATACATAGGAATAAACAGGTCATTTCTATGGCAATTAATTTTTGTCCATGCCCTAAGATTAATAGATAGATGGTGGAACTGACCATGGGAAAATATTCTTTAAAAAATGTCCACTTAGAGAGGCAGGTGGATCTTTGTGAGTTTGAGACCAGCCTGATTCCCATAGTGAATCCAGGCCAGCTGTGGCTACAGGGAGACCCCCTGTCTCAAAAAAAAAAGAAAGAAAATAAAATAAATATGCACTTAGAAAATGGGGGTGATTGTAGGGCATTCAGTGATACAGATTGAACATGTAAGAACATTCTTCATATCTAAATTGATTTGAATTAAACAGTGTTTCATCAGAGCAGGGATGGGTTGAAAGAACTATTTTTTTGAGACAGGAACTTTCTTTTAAAAAATTTTAATTTTATGTGTATGAGTATTTTGCCTGCATGTATGTTAGTGTACTCATGTCATATGATGCCTACTGAGGCCAGAAGAGGGTGTTTGGTCCCCTGGAACTGGAATTATAGACTGTTGTCAGCCACCATGTTGGTCCTGGAGACTTAACCTGGGTCCTCTGTAAGAGCAGCCAGTGCTCTTAACTGCTGACCATCTCTCTAGCCCTAAGAACTTATTAATAATACTCTTTTATTCCTTTTTAGGGAGAAGGGGGGATAGTTTGTGTGCTGGATACACCTGGGAAATTTGTCAAATTGATACATCTGGGAAGAGGGAATCTCAATTGGGAAATTGTCCTGTCAGACTGGTCTGTGGACAGATATCATCTGTAAGGAATTTTCTAGATTGTTGAGTGATATGGGAGGGCCCAGCCCACTGAGGGTAGTGCCGCCCCTAGGCAGGTGGTCTTGGGTTGTATAAAAATGCTGGATGAGCCGGGCGTGGTGGCGCACGCCTTTAATCCCAGCACTTGGGAGGCAGAGGCAGGCGGATCTCTGTGAGTTCAAGGCCAGCCTGGTCTCCATAGTGAGTTCCAGGACAGCTGGGGCTGCAGGGAGACCCTGTCTCAAAAAGACCAAAAAAAAGTTGGAAGAGCAGGGGCCAGGGAAGCAAGGCAGTAAGCTGCATACCCCCATGGTCTATGCTTCAGTTCCTGCTTTCAGATTTCTTGACTTTCCTCAGTGATGAACATGAGAAAGCCAGTAAACCCTTTCCTCCCCAAATTTTGGACACTCTTTTATCACAGAAACCAAACTAGGAAAATTTTCATAGATGTATTGATTGGAATTGGTATAGAAACACTAAGGATTATATATTATATTCTCAAAAATTCTAGTACATTATAACTCATCACACCAGGGATGCTATAAAGAATCATATGTAAAAGTCATTATTAAAATGTGTAGAATGATAATCCTTCAATAGTTCCTTCTTTTTCCTTTACAAAGCATTTTAATCTCATCTGTGCAAAATACTGTGAGGATTATTATATCCATTTTATAGAAGAGGAAATGGAGACACAGAAAGGATAACACCATGCCCAAGGATATAGTAACTGGTAGAGTTGGAATACAGACCCAGCTTTTCACTGAAGTCTTTTGTTTTTTAATTGAAGTTTACAGATTTGTACCACATAAAGGATATATTGGGTTCGACTAGTGTAATCTCACATAAACTGAGTACTCTCTTTGGACTGTGATTCTATCACTATCTCACTATCTTTTCCTGAACTGATTATAATTATAAAGTGTAATATTAAAACAAAAATCTCCAATTACCTGGGTTTTGTTTTTTTTTTTTGGCACTATTTTTTAAAATGTTTTAATTGAATTTTTGTGTATTTTATACAGACATTCTCAAATAATCTTAATCATCTTTAGACCCATCCCCACTGGCATACTCCCACAGCCCCTCCACTGGAACCCATGTGTTCTGTCATCTGTATTAAGGCCCAGTGTGTCAAGTCAGTGTCCCCAGACATTCCCCTGTGCAAGCCCATCCACTGAGGTCTAGTCAGCCTATCTAGAGTCTCTTGTTTTAGAAAGATCAGCTCTTCCTCATCCAGCTGTAATCAGCTGTCAGTGTTTCCTCAGCTACGACTGGGGTCTGCTGTTCATTTCCCCAGTTCTATGCTGGGTTTTTGTCTGCCCAAGTTGGCATGGGACTTTTGTCATAGAATCCTATGAGCAGGATCCCAGGAGATTGTAGGACTCTGTTTCCATATGGTTGTGTACCTCTTCCTTGGCTCTTAAAATCTTTCTACCCCCTCTTTTGCAGTGGTCCCTGAGCTCTGAGTGGGTGACGTTTAATAAAGGAGCCCTTGGGGCTGGAGAGATGGCTTAGCAGTTAAGAACACTGGTTGTTCTTGCAGAAGACCCGGGATTGAATCCTAGCACCTACATGGCAGCTAACAACTGTCTGTAACTCCAGTTCCGGGGAATCCAATGGCCTCTTCTGTCCTTCCCGGGCACTGCATGACACGGGTGCACTTACCTCCATGCAGGCAATTCACTCGTACACATAAAATAAAAATAATAAATAAAATATTTTTTAAAAAAGTAATAAAGGAGCCCTGTTCAAGGACTAGCATTCAGCAGACTCTCGATCTCTATGCTTTGGCCATTTGTGACCTTTTGTGTTCCTCTCCCTCTGTTGCATGAGGGATCTTCATTAATGAGAATTGACAGATTCATTAGTGTCTTCATTACCCCTGTCATATATTCCATGCACCTTAGGTGTAGAGGTTGCATTGTAGATCCGTCACGTAGGCATGGACAATTCATAATGTCTGTGTGTGACCAGTTGTGGTACTTGGTAATAGTCTCTGACTGGTACAAAATAAGCTTCTTTGATGAGTGGTGACTGGGATATTTGTCTGTAAATATAAGAATACATATTTTGCACATAGCAAGAAATTACATTACTCGAGGGATCTAACAGTTGTGGGGTTTTCTCTAAGATTTATGACCTCTTCAGCTGTGTGTATTTGGTTATGTTTATAGTACCACACTTGCGGTTCCTCCCATTGAGTGGGCATTTAGTTCAATTAGGTAGCTGTTGATTGCCCCAAGATAAAAGTGCCACTACTGTACCAATGTCATATGCTATGCTGGCCATTGATGTGGTTATTTGGTCCTGAAGCTGGCATTGGACCATTGATTGATGTTTTCCCTTGGCACCTTCATACTGCTCTCTAAAGCTATGAGAGCTAGCCTTCAGGGGAAGTGGTTTCAGGTCAGTTCCAGGTCTATTACTCCAAATCCTGTGTCCAAAGTATGTTCTGTCTTCTGCAGTAGGGACTTACCTTCAAGTTCTAGGAGGCCATCAAGGCTGTGGCAATAGCCTGTGTAATTTTGGGAATCTCTTGGACCACCCTGGTCAACAAATCATGGAAGGTTTCTTCTGTCTGGCACTAGTTTTGTTACATAGCCTTTAGTTACACACATGGAATCATATAAAGATACTGTATATGTTGGAATAATGTGATTCCCTCTGTTATTATTTATTTATTTATTTATATTTTTCTTTTTATTTTTTGGAAGAAGCATTTCATTAACGCTTTAACATATTCAGTAACACATTCCAGAGAAATGATACATCTCTTTCAAAGGTGGCTGTAAATTTTTAGGTTCAGAGTTGAATTAATACAGTCATACAATATTGAACTCAGTATAAAACTGTAAGACATAAAATTGAATGAGTTTTACCCTTTAAAGATCTCCATTTCATTTTAAGATAAGCTGCTTCCTACATTTTTAATTCTACTAACATTTACATGTTTGCACATGTGTTTTTAATCTCTGTATCTGATTATTACTAGTCACAGGCAGTTACACTAGGATCCTTAGTACCTGAGAATGGATATAAAATCATCAGGTAGATTTCACTGGTAATGTTTATCACCTCTACTATTTAACATGAAGTAAATTTTTTTAAATTTCTAATAACTACATGATTAGAAGAAACATTTCATTACAGCTTTAACATATCCAGTAACACACTCCAGAGCAAGAGTACATCTCTTTCACAAGTGGGTGCAAGTTTCTAGGTTCACAGTTGAATTAATATAGTTATATATTATCGAACTCAGTATAAGCCCTGTAAGACATAAAATTGAATGAGTTTTTATCCTTTAAAAAAGATCTCCATTTCATTTTAGAATATATTGTTCAAAGACTCATTGTTTCTGATACTAACACTGAGATGTTGGCGCATGCATCTCTAATCTGTATGTATCTGATTATTGCTAGCCATAATCAGTTTCACTTGGCTCCTTGGCACCTGTGTATGCCTATAAAGTCATCAGATAGATTTCAGTGGTAATGTTTATCACCACAACTAATTAAAATGGCGTAAATTTGATTTCTCCTCAAATATAATACATTTTGAAATTTTTCTTTTTTTTTTTGTCTGTGTGTGTATATCACACAGAACATCCCAAACCACCTTATTCAACTATATGCCCACTTCCCAGGTGACACCCTCCCATAGCCTCCCTCCCCTTATACTCTGTTATCCCTGCTACTATCTGCTGTGTTGTCAGCACCCCCAGGCATTCCCCACTACTTGCCCTTCTGGTGAATCTAGTCAGCCTATCTAGAGATCTTTGTTTTAGGAGGGTCAGCTGTCCTTTAGATAAGATTGGGGTCTGCTGTTCATTTTCCCAGTTCTATGCTGGGTTACTACCTGGGAGTCCCTTGGGCCACCCTGGCTAACAACTCAGAAGGAGGTATCTCCTATCTGGCATTCTTGCTTGTTATGTAGCTTTTAGCTATACATATGGACTCTTAAAAAATTATATTGACCCCCTTAATCTTTGGTTATACTTTCATTTGGGTGTTTAAGGCCATACACTTGGTGCAAATAAACCAATCTATTTTTATTCTTAAGGTCCTTTGAGGATCTGTTCCTTAGGTGTCACAGGGCCTTGGAAGGAGCCCCTGGCTCCTTTCTTTTACCAGTTCTGCCTA